TGAGAAATAAATGTCGAAGTCCCCAAACGTTTCTTGCAACGTTTCTCAATTACGCTCATTAGCGGGCCGAAAAGCTGCAATGTGGAGCAAGAGGTCTGCAACTTTCTTCGCGACGAATGTGAAACAAAAGTTGCGCGTCGCAACTTCCGCTACCCCTACCACACACGTACACCCTCTCTCCAGCTTCGATTGTGCAAAGGCCGTGATCACCGATATCTCGACGAATACTTCGCGAGTTGCCTCATGAATTGTACCTCGAAGGAGGTGATGTCATGGGCTGTTGGGTGTTGCCAAGGTTTGGCGCCGTGAGGTGCCGATGCGGCAGGAAAATTTTTGTGCTGACGCACGACCGTCAACGGCACCGAAGCGGTCAGCTCAAGTTCGGTGTTTTTGACCGCCACGGGTTTGGTTTTCCACGGATAACTTTCGGAGGAAGCAACAGCAATAGCAAGGCCACGCGGCAGAAGGTCGTTCTCTGCTGCATCTTTCATGCCCAAGGTTGGTGCCTTGGGGTTTCGTGCGCGTTGGAAAAAACCGTTTTGGCTGACCCTAGAATACCCACGTCAGAGAGCGGTTGGTTCAAGTTCGCGGGGATTGTGTGCTCATCATGGTTTGGTTTCCCAGCGATAACGTTTCGAAGGAGGCAGCAGCAACACCAATGCCAGCCCGAGGGAGGTAGCTCTACCCAGCATCTTTCTGGTACCAGGGTAGGTGCCTTGGGGTAACGTGAGTGTGGTGAAAAAAGGTTGAAACTACCCTGTCCCGCACGCTCCGGCCGTCTTCGGGGTGTGGTATAAAGGCGTGTGTCTGCTCCTCGCCGTTGCTAGTACAGCTAAAGAGTATCACGCCTCCGCCAGTCCCGTGCACCAAACGTACTGTGCCCCATAAACAGCGTGCACCATAGGTTCCATTGATAAAAGTTCCCGACCAAAAGTTGCAGAAAGATATGCAGCTTTTTGACAACTTCCTGCTCCGGTATATAGTGGTGTTGCGCTACAGCATCGCTTTTATTTCGTCTTTCAGCAAAACCAATTGCTGGCTCATGTGACCAATATTGACCAATTCCACACGTGGTGGCGTCCGCCCACCCATTCTGCCCCGCTTTGAGGCTCACAACTGTCAAAGAAGTGAAATTGGGGGATCATGGCCTGTGTCCCTGTCCAATATATGGCAAGGTTGGGTGTTTTTTGGTAGAAAAGTGATCAGCTCGGGTAGCAGCAATCGTTTTCCAAATTTTCAGCTCCAGCTGGTTACCTGGTGCCCGTACTGCTGTATCGCCATCGCCGTAAAGGCTTCTTACGCTCCCTAGATGCATACATAGGGTGTCGCCACGGGTGCCCATGGCAGCGAAAGATGATTCAGGGGCTCATCAAGAACCACGTTTTCTGTCATGCTTTGTTCCGGAGCGTTCTTATAAATCCTCTCAACACAACCAGTGAAAATCAATCAAGGAGATTTTTACCCACTGTTTTGACCCAACAGCAGATAATACCCGTGTCGATCCCTCACTCGATAGTTAACGTCTGACAGTAGTACACTCGGGATGAGGCTTGGACTGCTGGCACCAGTTGCTGCTGCTGAGCCTCACGCGCCGGCTGACGTATTTTACATTGTACCGCAGCTTGCCTCGGGCAACCGTGCTGGTCCTCTACGATTTTTTTTTGAGGCAGTAGTAGTTTGGGCATTCGGACTCATCAATATTATTTGGAAACAGCATTTGAGTTACACCATCTTTGTGAGGATCGTTCTTGACAGTCTCGCCAGAACCCAACACAAGGATAAAATTCGAGATTAAGAGCTGGCCTCGAAGCGGGCAATAATGTAGAAGTATGAAATATGGAGGGTACAGACGACAACAAGACTCACATATATATGCATGCGACGGCAACAAATCGATCGGTGCTGCTTGCAAACGTGCGCGCGTTTTTTGTTCTTGTTGCATCCTACATACAATACAGCGTTGGGTGTCGCACGCATCATCTGCAGGTCGCGCGTCACCGACACATGATGATGATGTGTGCCGAAAAGAGAGTGATCAACATATAGGATATGTGCGCTCGAATAATAACTACACGATTTCTATTTCCGTCCAAACGCGGCGGATCCATTCTCGCAGAGCGCGAGGCAAAAGTGTGCCCCGACCCCCTCGTAGGCAGGCTTGTCTTGGCCTCAAAACGGGAATGCATGTTTGTAGATTGGACAGCGCGGATTGAATTCCATGACAGACAGGCAACTTTTCGCTCGATCATCCCGAGATCGGAGGTAAACTTTTGTACAAGTGTTGGATTGATGTGTTCCGAAGAGAAGTCAACAACAAAAATGCGCGAAAAAAGGAATTAGTATCTGTCGAAGACTACAACAGTAGAAGAGCATCGATATATATATATAATTTTTTTTTCTCCCATCATTGGACTTTGTCGTCTGCTCCCCTGGCCCCTATCCTCCACTTCTACTAGCTAGACGACGCAGCTAGACGACGCAACGTCCCCCATCCTCCACTTTTACTAGTTAGACGACCCAACCTGGGTCACATAGGAGGGGGAGAGCTGGATCCCCTCCTGCGGTTCCTGCCTGGGATATTTTTATCGCGAGAAGGGTGCAGCAATCCCTTCCCTCGCGATTCATGAAGTCGATTAAGTTCACTATCAACGAGCTTTGCAGCGCGTCGCTTGCAACGGAGACCAGGGTTTAATTAAGGTGAAAATATGTCACCCTGCCGGGACTCGAACCCATGACCTGGCCCTTAGTAGGCTGCGAGGGTACCCACTAGCAGGCTGCGAGGGTAACCACTAGGCCACCGGGTCTAGCACCTGTATTGCCCCGTCATTCATCATCATATAGATGGCCAAAACACTATGTCAAAGGAGCCGACAAAGAACAAAATGCGCGCGCGCAAAACAAGAACAAAAATGTAACGAAAGAAACGCGGCGCAATAGGCAGCCTCCGCGGGCAGGTGATATAGGTATGCCCCGACCCTTCGTTTGCAGCCTAATCCTGGCCTCGAAGACCCGTTATTGATCGGAAATTGATGGCATGTAGCAACTGAACGCGCAATGGCCAAAATCGGAGTTATTGTACAATGGATGCATGGATGGATGGATGGATGGATGTGTTCCGATGAGGAAAAGAGAGTAATCAATCATCGATGTCGCGTGCGAAATGCGGCGGAACATATACTTCCGCGTCGCGAGGATGCAGCGGTGTGGCCCGACCTCTCGTCGGCAGGCAAAATTGGTAGACACAAAGCTATTCCAGCGTATAAGGACTTATATTCCAGCTGTACATTGGACGGGGCTTCCATTTGGTGGAGGATAGGCAACCTTTAGGCACAAATTCATCGAGATTGGAGCAATATGATGCCGGAAGCACCTGCTGCATGCTTGTGTTTCGTGCTTGAAAAGGCCAGTCACCGACCTTGCCGAACGTTGATGCAGGAGGCGCCAATCAAGCTGAAACTCAATGAGGGCGTCTAAAGTAGTGCAGGACCACCAATGGTCTGATTGCTCGCGCCTCGGACGTTCGGATAACAAAAATGCATGGTTCGGAGCTTCGGAGTGAAGGCCGAGAGAGAAAATTGACAGACAGACGGACAATTGTGTTTTACCGTCCTGTGAAGCATCTAGAGACCGTAACGGTGTCGTAGAGGAGTTTTTTGCAGCCTCCACTGGTTCATGTGTCTGTCTCTCTACCTTTGTTGGAAGTCATCTCACCTCGCGGCAGCGATTCCGCCGCATCCAAGAAGTAGCAGAATCTTGGTTGCTCGATTTAGTGTCTGGGTCTTCCGACAATGCACACAGCATCCAAGGCTTACCGTTCGAGAAAAGTTGTTCCAGGGGATGTGTTGAAATGTCAGAGTTTGCAGTGACACCGCTTTTTATGGCTCCAAAATGTTGCAAAAAAGCATTTCTGCAACTTTTCTTTCAGCTTTCCTAATCTACACTCAGTGAGGGAGCTAAAAGTTGCATGAACAGTTGTGTAATTTTACCCGGAGCGAAAAGCTCAATCTGGCCGAAAAAGTTTTCAACTTTTCTCCAGTCGCGAAGCGGCGAGAAATGCTGCACGACGGATATTATCCCCGTTCACGTCAAGCTGCTACCCCTACCGCACACGTGGACCCTCTCCAGCATTTATTGTGGGAAGGCTGTGATCACCGATACCTCGACGAATGCTAACGAGTTGCCTCATGAATGGTATCTGGCCGCCACGGATTTGGTTACACACCGACAACTTTCCGAAGGAAGAAGCAACAGCAACAGCAGGGCCACTCGGCGGGAGGTGGCTCTCTGCTCCATCTTTCATGCCCAAGGTTTGGTGCCGTGGGGTATCGTGCGCATCGGGAAAGTTTTGATCCACCCTAGAGTACCGACGTCAGAGAGCGGCTGGTTCAAGTCCGCAGGGATTGTGTGCTAATGGTTTTGTGTTCCAGCGATCACTTGTCGAAGGAGGAGGCAGCACCATAGCAATGCCACCCGGAGGGAGCTAACTCTACCCAGCATCTTTCTGGTGCCAGGTTCGATGTCTTGGGGTATCGTGAGTGTGTAAAAAAAAGGCTGCAACTACCCTCTCCCGCACGCTCTGGCCGGTTCTTTCGCGGTGCAATATGAACGGCGCGTGCCTTCTTCTCGCTGTTGAAAAAAAAAAAAAACGCGCCTCCGCATGCCGCCAGTCTCGTGCTTCGTTCCATAATGAGCGTGCACAAAAAGTGCGAATGACAAAGTTCCCGAGCAAAGTTGCAGGAAAAGTTCGCAACTTTTGTTGCAGCAATGTGGAGCATCAAAAGCGGTGTGAGGGTTGAGGGAAACCTGCTGGATATCGGAGACACGCTTGTAACTCAGTCGCTGTGCTTAACCCTGAAACATATATAATCTAGCCGCTTCGTCGTCTAGTACCTTATGACGATACGAAAGGGTTGGTTCGGAAGACAACGCCAACTCGGCCAACGCACCTCTGCATCGTTGTTTTTCACGCATGTCCTCCCTGCGTCCTTCTCTCCGTACAGCTCCATTGTGATCAAGCGAAGAACCTGTGACGAGATGGCGGAAAAACGGCGATTTCAGCAAGAAGAGTCAAAAGACATGACGTCAGCAGTTTTCCGAGGTCCGAACAGTATAGACAATCTCCAACCAGGTAGGTGCCATGTTTTGTTTTGTCCCTTTTACTCCCTGATTCTAGGCGATGTTCGAGAACACTGCTTTCAATGTGATGCTCCCGGATTATTCTCTACATTAGAGCTACAGTTCCGCCGCAGAACCGGTACAAAAGCTGGCAGTACGACCAACCCCGGGACGGTAGCAAAATGCCTTTGAGAGCTTGAAAGGAGGGCCTCTAATGTACATTTTTGATGAAGGGCATACGTGTGTTGGGATCGGACATAACAGCCTCGCTACTTATACAGAGTGTAGTGACTCGTTTTCTTCACTTGCGGCGGTCCTTCAGTCAGGAAGCCAGCGCGATCGGCAAGGATAGTCCTCGGTCGGGCTAGATACTGCAGTGTTTTAGCTGGCCCGGCTTGAAAGTCGCTTAGCAATCAGCGCGCGCAGTATTCAAACAAGAGGAAGGTATCAAGCTGTTGATACTTCATCGGAGTCAGGGTCAGCCGTGTGCTGTGCCTCTTGGTTGCGTTCATTACTATGGCCTTATGCATACCACTGAAGAGGTGTTCACCGGGGCGTCGTGTTACCGTGGGGGATATGTTCAATCCAGGGAAGCCGTTACAACCAGGTATTGCATCGGTCACCCGTGCTTGAATCAAAGGGAGGGAATCAGCTCAGATGTCGTCAGATTGTGGTGTCGTGCCACCCATGCTATGGTGCTGTTTGCTGCTGTCCGTACAATATCCGTCCGTATTTCCTTCCGCATGCCCGAGTTACTCTGCCTGCATCATGTGTCTTGCTTTTTCAGGTCTCAATCGCTGTCTGGACGCGTTCGTTGTTGCTCTGAACCAGAGCTGTGACGGGAAGAAATGGTATACATCGATAGCTGGCCTCCAGCTAGCATCGTTGGCGTTCTGCGTGGCATGCCGGAATGTTCTCGCACCATGCCTGACGGTGGACAAGGGTACGCCGCTTCGTCTATGGTGTGGGCCTTGTACCACACCACTCGAGGTTCTTACAACTGTGACGCGCGTGCCGGCCATTCGAGTGCGTGAGGTTGTGTGGAAGTTAACCGAACGTAAAGACGGCATCGCCCTGCCGTCGTCGTTGCGCCGCATAACGTTTGGGAGAGATTTCAACCAGAGGATTGACAGGGGCTTCTTGCCTGCGTCCGTGGAGGAAATTGTCTTCGGTAACGCCTTCGACCAGCCAGTCAACGGAGTTCGGTGGCCCACTTCCCTCCGAAAACTTGTTTTCGGCAATGCGTTCAACCAGCCAGTGGACGAAGGAGTGTGGCCAGTGTCGCTACAAGAGCTGGTGTTTGGTGGGGAATTCAATCAGTCACTTGACGGAGGTGCACTGCCCACGTCACTGCGCCGCTTAACGCTTGGGTTTCGTTTCAACCAGAGAATGGACGAGGTCCTTTTACCTGCTTCCGTGGAGAACATCGTCTTCGGCATCTGCTTCAATCAGCCAGTGAAGGGAGTCTCGTGGCCCGCATCCCTCGAAGGACTTGAATTTCGTTGTGCGTTTAACCAGCCAATGGACGAAGCAGTGTGGCCGGCGTCTCTACGGGAGCTGTTGTTCAGTTGGAGGTTCAATCAATCGATTCAGGGGGGTGTACTGCCTACCTCACTGCGACGCCTTTGTTTTAAGTATGATTTCAACCAGAGGATCGACGGCAACACGTTGCCCCCATCGCTGGTGCATCTGGATCTAGGTCGTGCCTTCAACCAGCCTGTCAACAAAGTCTCGTGGCCGCCGTCTCTGGAGGAAATCGTCTTCGGTCGGCAGTTTAACCAGCCAGTGGACGAAGTAGTGTGGCCGGCGTCGCTACACGTGCTAGAGTTTGGTGAGCAATTCAATCAGTCGATGCAAGGAGGTGCACTGCCAAAGTCACTGCGAAACCTTAGTTTTGGGCGTAATTTCAACCAGAGTATAGACAGGAATGTTTTGCCGACATCGCTGGTGTACCTGGATGTGGGCGATGCGTTCAACGAGCCCATCGAGAACATATCGTGGCCGCCGTCTCTGGAGCGACTGAGGTTGGGCTCTGAATTTAACCAGCCGATTGATGGACAATCTTGGCCTTTGCTGCGCCAACTGACTCTTGGCGCGTCATTCAACCAGCCGATTCACCAAGTCGTTTGGCCGGTGTCGCTGCAGACGCTGGCACTAAGCGGATCCAGAGACGGAACGTTTGACCAGCCCATCCACAGCGTCGCGTGGTCCACGCGACTGCAGCATCTGAGGCTTGGCGGCAAGTTCAATCAGCCTATTGTAGAAGTGATGTGGCCACGCTCTCTGCAGACGCTCACACTCGATGGATTATTCAACCAGCCGGTCCACCAAGTCGTCTGGTCGTCTTCGTTGCGCCAGTTGAAGCTTGGCGGTTCATTCAACCAGCCGATTAGCCAAGTCAAGTGGCCGGCCTCGCTAGAGCGCCTCCAACTCGGTGCCGACTATGGGCTGTTTGATCAGCCCATCGACGGTGTCACGTGGTCAACATCCTTGCGTTGGATCGTTTTCGGAATGGCATTCGACCGCCCAATGGGCAATGTCGTTTGGCCGGCGTCGTTGCGGGGGCTGGTATTGCCCTCCCACTGCGACAGGGCACTAGCAGGATGGCCTCACGTAGAGGTGGTCCTCGTTGATGCCTCCTTTGATGGTGGTGGAGACTATGTTGACTATTTCAATGCTATTGCGGGTGCGGGTTTCCTGTGGCCAGGACAAAGCTACTAAATAATGTTGGAGAACACAAGGTTTGGTTGGAGTCCCTGGTACCTGCAGTAGTACAGTTGGGGTCGAGGCATGGTTTTTGAGATTGTTGGCGGGCACCAGTGACGGTCATGTTATCTTCAGTGTCGCTCATACGTTCTTGTGCCATGTCCCCCTAACTGATTACAACGCGTAGAAAAAGTCTCAGATACAAGTACCCTGTTCAGTGCGCACAACAACACTGAAGGTGGATGCAGACCTCCTACGTGAAGTAGTAACCGCCCCCTGCTTGTGTGCGTCAGCAAGACGCATTGGGGGTGAGTTTCGTTGTGGCGGGGTGCCATTGAGTTGTTGGTTTTCTCCCCTTTCTCCTGACGTGGGTGAGCTGCAACGTAGCGTGTACTGCAAGTACATTTTTGGGGCAGCGAATCGAAATGGATCCCACGGTGTGTATTTGTATAGTTGATGGAAAACGTGGTGTCGTATGGGGCCAAGTGTGACGGACCAGACGGCGAAATGACGAGAGGGAGGGAGGAGCTCCTCCCACTATAACAATGCGACCACGGCGTTAAACCAGAACTACCACTGCCAGTGTTGTCGGTTCTAGATTGTCTGTCGTTAGGTGCCAGTTGTATCCATATCCATACATCTCGGGAGAGGGTAAACGTCCCCCAACGCGAAACCAACCAGTCATACATCGCGGGAACGCCATTTACTACGCCGGTGTCATGCTTTCTTGGACGACACCGCGTCCAGCTGGGTTCACGTATTTCATTCTTGGTTCTGTCGCTTCTCTATTTTTACGGTCGTCTTTAACTATATATGGTTCATTAGGTACTGTTTTTTTAACGCTTGGAAGCCACTCTTCACTCTGTTTCGACGGGTCTCAGCTGCTACGCAAGCCCTCGGCGCAAAGTGACCAGTGGTTCACGAGGTTTGGCCCAACACGTGGTCACGGCATCACCTCGGCAGTGTCGTAGATGTAAGCACCCCTTGAATCTCTTCGGGAAAACTGCCTCGCTTGCCTTTTGGCGTCTGGAATGGGCCCCGAGCATGCGCAGCCACAACGAGATAACTGCAGGGTCGTGAAGCAAGCTTTGCAAGCATTTCATTTAAACTCCATTGTCGGTATGAACATAAACAAAAATATCAGCAAACGGCAATGCGAAACAAGTTTGATTCCATGTTTTGGCCATTCTCCTCTCTCATCATGCGCTTTTGCCATAATGGTGGTCGAGCAGATTATGTTGTGCGGGGTGGAGAACCCTCACGCCGCGCAAAGGGGATGACCGCGCGACGTTGTGTTCAATTGGTCAAGCACCTCCAAGGCAGTCACACACACGCCCCGGTGGTCTAGTGGGTAGCCTCGCAGCCTGCTAAGGGCCAGGTCATGGGTTCGAGTCCCGACAGAGAGAGTTTTTTTCTCACCAAATAAATCCTGGTCTAGGATGAAAGCGACGCGCTGCAAAGCTCGTTTGTTAGTAAACCATAATCGACTTCGTAAGTCGCGAGGGAAGGGATTGCTGTACCCTTCTCGCGATAAAAATACCTCAGGCATGAACCGCAGGAGGGGGTCCAACCCCCCCCTCCTATGTGACCCCGGTTGGATCGTCTAGCTAGTAGAAGTGGAGGATAGGGGCCAGAGGGGCAGACGACAGAGTCCAATGATGGGAGAAAAACAAACAACAAAACAAAACAAACAGTGCTTGTAGCTCTCTGGGGGTGTACCCACCAAAAAATATGTTCAGTCATTCGCCGCTGTGATCCGTACGCAAGGAAGTAAGCACAAGATTCGGAACAATTTGCAGGATGTAGGGCATCCTCCATGCGACGCGCCGAGTGTCTCACGGCGTTCCGCGCTTGGTGACGTCCTGGCTTCGTAGGGATGCGAGGTCAATGGTCTAACGCCTACGTCATGCACGACAACGAGTACACCTCCGCCTCTCTCATCATGCGCGTTCTGCAGTTTCGGTACAATCCTCATCATCCTGAGTGAGTGGTGCGCTGTCGACGTGGGCGATCCAGATCGCCTAGAATTCGCCCCTAGTGCGGTTGAGGTGGCACTGTCCAACTTCCCAAACAGGGCCGCCCTGTGCTGTTTCTTTCCGCTTTACTTCCTTGGGGTTCGGATTCGAATGATTCCGATGAATACATGGCGTGGAGCAGGAAATTCAGGCTTAGAGGACGCGGCATCCAACCACCGAGAATCTACAAGACTCTTCACAGAGCGACGGGGCGATACTCCACGCTGAGAAGCCGTTATTGAGTGTGGTTCAGTCACACAAGATGAATCATGAACTGTGAACTTGGTTCCGAATCCGATGTGGAGTGAATCCTGCGGCAGATTTCATTCGGGTATTTGAGTAGGGCACACCCAACCCAAGGGACCGAACTACCTACTGTACCATCGCCTGTGCGTGTTGCAGCTAAACTACATGGCCGGGCGGCCGAGTCTAAGATCCACGTCGGTACATGTTTGATTCGCCGTCTAGAGTATGTGCATACCTCTGCCCAAACCTGACTTTTAACGGCAGCCCTACATCATGTTACAGTGACCTTCATTATACGTCTGTAGGGTTTAAAGCCCGGTAAACGTCTCGGACCAGCGCCCAAGGACGCGTTAATGTACTTCAAGGTCAGCAAATGCTTGTGCGTCCAAGTGAGACAACTGAGAGAACGTTCACGTTATGATGAATGAGACAATGGTGACGTGGGTCCTCCATCGCCGAGAAACATCACACAATTTCAAGCTGAATCAAACATGCCGCCTGACAGCGCATGGTCGGCCTAAGATTACCCAACAACGTGAAACGGAGTTGTGCACCATTTGTTTCATTTTCAACGGCTTAGTACAGGCATTTGACTGACGGCTTCGTGCGTGTGGATATGAGACCACTTTCAACAGCCACCCTTGATTCCCAGAGAAAACAATTCATTCAGAGAATTACCTTGACTGGCTGCTGCTGCTCCTTCCAAATCGGCAGTGGCAGAGGCTGAGCTTCCTATGTACCAAGATGCGTTTGTCGCTTCCACCAATATCGCGTGGTATTCTACGTATGAAAATAGTCTTCACATCATATATCCCTGGGTTGTGTCCTGTTGCTCTTGGAAACCGATTGACAGGCGGCTTGTATATATTGGACAGTCTATCGGAATACTGCACTAATCGCAGGTTACGTTAGAGCCCCCCTATCAACTGTGTTCACCATGTGCGTGTCCAGCCCCGTGTCGAAATTCTTGTTTCCATTGGAGAGGGTTGTCGGGTATACGGGGGCGTTGCAGAACTGTTCACCTCAGCAGACACGAGATGGACGCAGACACCTACAGGATTCGGTAATCTAAAGAGGGAGCACATGCGGTAGAAGTAGATAGTGTGGTTTGAGTTTTCGCATGGAAGTCTAAATACTGGTATAGTGTTGTGGAAACATATGTCAAGGATGAACCGTTTCGAAACGGTCGCACCTTCAAGAGGCCATATATTTCTGCGCTGCACGAGCTGAAATGGTACAACTGTAGTCAATCTACGACAACAGGCAATAGATCCGGAATTTTTTCGTACGACCACGGGTTGGCTTGGGCGGACAGAAGGCTTGTGCAGCAGCTGGGGCCGGTGGAAACACGGTGAGGGTGGTTTCGTGCCCCATCGGTGGTGTTTGTCAAGACGGCATTGGATGCATTGGTATATAGAGTAGTCTGTGCTTAGCATGCCTGTAGTTCCAAACCCTTCCGAGCGGTTGCGTGTAGATTCAAGCTGTATAGACTAGTGTAGACGATACAATACAGTACGACAGCGATAAAGTTGTGGTGTTGATGGGGGCGTATTCGTGGACTCATCGCGGCAATCATGTGTCCGGTTGGACCGACCGAGAGCTTGTGAAGCAACCGGGGCCCATGGCGACGCAGAGTTGTTGGTGCCGTGCCCTTTGTAGGCAGTTGTGAACGGTTTCGACCGGTGCCGTACCTTATCTACGACACCACCGAGGTGATGCCGTGACCTCGTGTTGGGCCATATATCGGCAACCACGGGTCACTTTGGGCCGAAGGAGGTCTTGCGCGACAGGTGAGACCCGTGGGAACAAATTGAAGGTGGCTCAGTAGCTTTTTGAGCGGTTTCGTGTAGCAATTTTCGGCACCCAGTGCGTGAGTTGCGTTTCCGGCTCGAATTCGGAAGTATAGAGGCTACTTGAGAGATTTCGAGTGCTTGTAGTGGGAGCAACGGGTTATTACATGTTTTTACCGCCTGCGGATAATTCGTTAGAGCAGTATTTGATGTGTTGGTCGGTTTGGTATTATTGTTTCCCGACTGGCATAGATGTGTGAGATTCAAACGGTGTTATTCGGTGTTATGATACAGTCGTTTCCGACCGGCGTACGACTGGACACTGGACGTTTCGTGTGAGGCTGTGTTCTGTGATTCATTGACGGAGAGGCGCTACAACATGTTCCAAGTTCGCGATTCGGAATGCCTCGCTGGTGGCGCGGACCGTGACCAGGGCATCCTCCTCTGTTTCCTTTCCTTGTTGTATCTCGATTTTGTTCGCGTGTGGGATAATATTTGCGCAAATCCTTACCTGCAGCAGCAGGCAGAGCACCCTCTACTCCACCGTGGAGAAGGAACCACTCAGGTAAAAAGTACGGTCCATGCACAACTTATTAGCCAAGATTTCTCCAGCACAAATGACAACTTTTCTCGGGATGGGGGGTGGGAGGGGGGCGTACCCATAGTCATGCATGCCGTAGTCGTCAGACCATTGACCTCGCATCCCTACAAAGCCGGGACGGAGCACGCCGGGTTCTCACCGGACCAGGCTCTCACATCACCAAGCGCGAAGCGCCGTGAGATATTCGGCGAGTCGCATGAAGGGTGCGCTGCATCCTGCTAAGGGTGTTCGGCATCTTATGCTTACTTCCTTGCGTACGAATGGCAGCAGCGTATGACTTAATTTACTTTCTGGTGCTTTCACTTCTAGAGACAGTTGAAG